AGCCTCAGCAGCATTCTGGATGCAGAATTTCCAACCCTTGAGCATCATCCAGCGGGAAATGAAGCAATCATCCCCCGTGCTTAGCTTGTTGCCTGCCCAATAGTCATTGCACACTGCAGCATTCAGAGTCAGCTGTCAAAGGACCAAGGGAGCAGTTTCATACAAATTGGGGGAGGAAAGGGTCGCCATTGTGGCCATAGCCTGTCTCAAAACCAGCAGTGTGATAAGTTCTTTGAGGCACTGGCCAAATTTTGGCAGAACTTGCTTCTTGAAGGGGTTAAAATTGTATCCAGAAGCTGCTTACTCGCGTGGAGGAACTCTTCATCTTGGAGCAGTTTTGAGCGAATGAGCATCGTGCGTCCGATCAGGCAGAAGCAGCCCTCATCTGCTGCAAACCGAACTGCTTGGATTCGATTTTGAATCACCATGAGGCGTATGGCAGCCACCTCCCAGGGGGTTATTTCATTGCCTCTGCGTCTATGCTCTGGAATGTAGGGACTAGTTGGAACAGTTAATATTAGCTGTGGCGCTCTGATGATTGGGCTCATTGCCACTGAGCGTGGAAAAAGCCATTAAGCATCTTTCTCAACATACCTCTGCTTTCCCTGAACTCCTCCTACGCTTGGATCTTCCTCAAGGCCAGCAAGCAGATACGGCAGCACCGTGGTCGCCGGCCAGAACGCGTCATCGTCCACAAGTGCTATGATCTGACCTCGTGCCATTCTGATGCCCTGGGCGAGTTGCTCTCTTTTGTTTGTGATGCCGCAGGTGACAATCTGAGTAATTCGAGCTGCCTCCGGGACTTGTGACACAAGAGACTGAACAAGCTCGAGATCTCGCTGGATTGTGACGATGATGATCTCAAGTGGATCATTGCTAAGCCACTGGTGCAGGGACTCAGGCAGGGTGTTTGGGGTCTCTATCGTGGCAACCACAATACTGACATCCTGGGTGCTATATTGCGGGTTTTCCGGGAGGGGCACAGGTTTGTACTTCTTCTCCAGTGCCGCTTCGACGTGGCGTTCATACTGTCCCCAGAGCCTATCGAAAGTTCAGTTGGGAAATGGAAAGGTTAACAACGACCAGCGTTTAGTGGTAGTACTCACCATAACGAGGCAAGTATCAAAGACATAGTAGACTTCGTGTGCACATGAACAACATGATAAAGGAAGAGGGTACTACCTGCGGCAGCAAAAGTCCTGGCTGAATCCCATCAGACGTGCGAGGACAGCAAGAAAGGAAGGCCTTCAAAGCAGATATAAGGGGGTTGAAAATGTGTTGGCCGTGCTTGATTACATTGAAAAGATCAACGCAGACGTCTGTTGAAAGAAAATGTATCCCTTTCACCTTCCTGCGATTCACCTCATAGGCCCCGAGAGATTGGAAGCCTATAAAAATCCTTGTATTCGACTATTCTTGCGAGATGATCGGGCCGGAGAACGTGCCATTCCAGGTGATTCCGTACGACAAATAAGGATCACAAGGGGCAGATTTTGTTGGGGCCTTCTGTGGGGGTACATGTGCAGAACAAACTGCAGACCGAACGGCAAACATTCTAAGCGATGCAAAGTGCTGTGTGACGCGAAGCTTCAGGCGAAGCATCTAGGTTGAGAAAAGCATCTGATTTTCTAAATCAAGACCTGGATGCGGGAAGTGTCATGCAGCCGGGACAGGCTCTTTCGCTCTTGGTTATTTCGCTTAATCCTGCGGGGGACGGCTGGGAGACACGTGTCGAATGGACCTCTCAATGATCCCTGGCACAAGAGCTGACCGAGTTGACATCGGACGCGGGGCCAGAGAATCCAGGGTGGCTGATGCTGCACGCATGTGCGTGGAAAAGTAGACCTCCCTGCAAGTTTGCTTAACGAACCTTCAGCTTATATTTGCGAGGAGGCTACATGCATAAATAAAGTCTGCCGATCCGAAAAGCACAACTCTTCCGAGAGCTGGGATTGGGTCGGTCTGCACAGGAAGGAGCTTGCGGGCCGGTTGCTGTACCCGGAAAGAATATCTATCGATTGTGACAGGGCTGAGCTGCAGTGTTTTGCAGCCTGATGTCCGATCATTGGAACAAAATTGTGGAGACTGACGGTTCACTCTACGGGGAACGAACTGCAGCAGCCGGATGGTGTTTGCAGCCCAATATTATGTACCTGACCTGTCGGAATGATCTGGGTTCAGGTGTTGGTCCCGGAAGTCTCTACCAGCCGTTTTCGATACACCGACGAGACAGGCAAATATGCAAAGACCCGGGCTTTGAATGTTTATTGGTCGCATAGCACTAGACCCAGCCCGTGCGCGTCCTCATAGGTATTCGTGTTAGCGAGACCCTTCGCGAGGGAGTGGCGTCGGCTTGTATTACACCACGTTAGCCGCCCTTTTGAGGCCATCAATTGGAAACTAGTGGCTCGGCACCATCCACCAGCCGTTTGGAACTCGGCTCCTTAGAGTTGGCCCTGATGGCTGCAATGCCTTATCTGAAAAGCGTCGTGGCAGAATTGGCGTGGTGCGTGGTGCGAGGTGCGAGTCCGAGGGGGATTTGGTGAGAGATGGCTGCTCCAAAACCTGCCCAGGTACCTACCCGTGTTTCCAGAGGTATTCTGCCTTTGCTTCAATTTACGATGTCTCAAGGCCGAACCTGATGTTCCGATTTGTTTTCGTTTAATATCGAATCCTCCGCCCGCAGCCTAGATCCTGCTAGTAAAATAACAGCACATTAATTACAGAGAGGCTGCGATAATCACACGAATCAAATCCTGGCACAGTGTCTCAGCGCGATCCCCAAATGCTGTTGTCCTGGAGCCATGTCCATATCATGTCGTGGCCGTTTTTCGCATTCCTCGTGATCAAGCCCTTTTTCGGGTCCCAGTCCGGGCCCGGATCATTGAAGATTTGCACGCAGCGTGTGTTATCCTTGCCAACCTCAAAGATGGTGCCGCCGACCAGCTCGCTATCCTCCGCACACTGGAGCATCGCCGCCGCAACCTCGTCCGGGGTGACCCATCCGTCCTCTGGCTCAAGATTAACCATTTTCTCCGGATGCTCTAGCCACAGTGGTGTACGGACGACCCCGGGAGCAACGGCGTTCACTCGTATTCCATGCTGTTCATCCAGGGCCGCGAGACTTCTCACAAAGCCATTAATGGCGAACTTGGATGCTCCATAAAGAGGAGCGTTGAAATTCGGCACGTAACTAGCCACGGACGAAATGTGCACAATCCTCTTCGGATTTGACGGTGAGACCGCGGTTCTTGCCGGTGGCGGATGCAGCCAGTGCGATAAAGCAAGTTGTGTCACGCGGATGGGATGGTTGAGGTTGATGTCCAGGAGGGCGTAGTGGCCCGGCTCCCCGTCGACGGCATCTTTGGCCTCAGAAGAGCCTGGTGGATGCCAAAAGTTGGACCAGTGAGGCTCATAGACTCCAGCTCCGGGGCAGACGATGTCGACGTCCCCAAACTCCGAAAGAGTGGTGTTGAACATGTTTGACAAGGCCGGCCATGATGTGACGTCGGTTTTGACAAACACGGCACGGGGATTGCTCTCGGGATCGCTGTACTTGGCAACGAGGGTCTCTGCTTCTGGCCGCAGGGTGAGGTCGGCCAAGACGACGTTGCAGTTTCGAGATAGCAGAAGTGCAGCAAAGGAGAGATTTATCCCTGAAAATATCACTTGATGTTAGCAATATGAAGCCATCGGACCAGGCTATTTCGTGCACAGATAGGGGTCGCTGCCCACCAGACCCTGCCCCAGTGACGATGGCTGTTTTGCCAGACACGCTGAAGGAGCTTGACATCATAAGAACGTCGGAATCTTGGAAGCTGTGAGCTACTGCAGCTATGATAGAGACACCCAATGAGTTCTGGCCAGAGGTGTTGTTGAAATGGGGACTGTCTGCAGTTACAAGGAACCAAGTTCGGGCCACAGCATACACGAGAAGTGAGAGTTCCCGTAATGTCTCGGTCCTGCAGAACCTGCCGTGACCCAGGTGGATAAATGGATGGAGGTCGCGGGTGAGTGTGACCCGACCAAACGAGCCCCTCCCACCAGCTCCCGAGTTTCTCCTCATCCTAGCGGGGATCGCGACCCGATATTACAGGCTGATCGCAGCGATACCGGATGACCAGAGTATGACCATTTTGCGTTGAGCTCGCTCCGATGCAGTCGCGAGGAAGGCAACCATATCCCAAACAACAACGCTCGTAAGGTGTCACAAAACTGCAAATGCCAAATTCGCCTGTCATGGGCGCTGCGTTTGCAAACTGAGGCTCCGAAGGAAAAACCGGTGGTCAACAGGATCTGATGACCTCAGTCTCTAGCCTTATGATGCATCACCGGGGCCACCTCGTGCCTGGGGGGGCTTATGATATGGCAATAATGAGGAGCTGACCTTGGGCTCAAGACACTGCATGTCAGACTGCCACAAGTCATGTTACGTCAGCAAAATAAACCTCTGGTTTTGTAACCAACAGCACAGATTGGCCCCCAAAGAGCGAGGCTCGGAAGAAGTTGGGACTTGCCCATAAGATATTTGCTACAATCCTTAATAGCTGACATGATCAGACCCAATGACTACTAACCACAGCAGTCGTAGAAAGCAACATCTTAAATGATACACGTGGGCATATAGTTAGGGTTTTGAAATCGGCCACCGTGCACAGAATCAACAATACCAAGGATCGGCTAACAATAGCAATTCTGGAAAGAGCTCCCAAAGGTACACAAGTCCTCCAGTTTGGAAAGCAAAAAGCGAAGAAGAAACTTTGTTCGCGGGTGGTGTGGAAAAGAACCACCCGCGGGATTAACTCGGAATTAACACACATGACAAGCAAGGTGCTCATACTCCTCCAGAGTACCAAATACATCCTTGGCACTCTCTCCGAGCAGTCAGACACGCTGGTTACCCTTCCAAAAACACACTGACACAAGATGTTCTCACCACCGGCTGGCAGCATATCTAACCATCCTGAGAGCATGAAAACTTCAAAACACATCCAGCAAAAGGGTCTGGCCGGGGATTGAACCCGGGGCCTCGCGCATTAAATGATTAGGGTGTTCCCTAAGCGCGAATCATACCACTAGACCACCAGACCAATGATTGTTGTTGAATTCTTCTCGAAAGTGTGGATATATATTGGTGGATCCCGTCATGCCGGCCCGCACACTCCCACCGGCCTATCTCGGCTTGCAAACCATGTGTATAACTGTCTGAGAAAGGAATGTGGGGTTCATTTTGGCTTGAAAAATCGTTCTGAAATGGGTGAATTCTTGTGTTGTTCCAAGCTTGTCATGCTAGCGCGTGACAAGTCAGGACAAGTTTGGGATCTGGTGCCAGCAATCCCCTCAGCTAATTCTGCTCTGATTGTTGTCTTTACCGGCCTCTAGAAGCCAGACTTGCGACCCACAAGCGATCTCAGGAGCATCGAGGCATAGTGGCCCGGTGCACCGGTCAGGAGCACTCAAGCCCCACACAACGACTGCCCCCATGACAGTCCTCGAGAATTGGGATCAGAAAGACCATGATCTGACAATGTTTTCACAAAAGACTTGAGAGCTGGAGGCCCAGATTGAAGCCAGCAGGACAGTCCGAAGGAAGACGGTTTAACTTGATCCGAATGAACTTTTCGCCGATATCGATATCGAGTCCATTCGGAGGACTCAAATTGCAGCCGACGTGGTGTCAGAAGAAAGCTACGAATCAGAAGAGTCGGAAATACTATTGGAAGTCGGTTCAAATATCATGGTGGCAGCACGGTGAGGTGTGAAGTATGTGTGTTTGGGTGGGCGTTATTGGCACATTATGTGCTTGCTTTGAGTAAAACTGGTGTCAGCTGCCACCAAGGGGGAAAGGATGACTAAAATCAATTAATTGATACGGTATTTAGATTCAATGTTGCGCAGCAAGATAGGGTTGCCCTTCCAACTTGGTGCTGCCTAGAAGCGCAATACCTCACAACCCGGAATGCCGAGAACCAGACATGCCACTCATTGCTGTGCTAGAAGAACGAAACATTATTACCTACTGTCCTCGTGCAAAGCTGATTGTGCTTATCACTGCCATTCAAGCTGGTTATAGCATAAGCAATACTGCAAAGCAGGCAGGAACGATTCCGTGCAGCACAATGCTGACGGCCGCATCCAAATTGGCTCCAGCGACCTGGACCGGAGTCGGTGACGAGGTGCCACTTGCGGTACCTGTTGCACCTGAACCTCCTGTTCCACCCGATCCACCCGTAGAGGTCGCATTAGAGCCTCCTGCTGACGGCGAGGCCGAGGGCATTGCCTTCGTAGGCTCAACAGCAGGCTCGTACTTGTCGCAGACGGCTCCCTCTGCCAAAGGGCACTGCAAAAGCTGAAGTCAGTCTTGGAGCTACGAATCATGAAGGGGGACAAGGGCGAATGATTGTTGCAAGTGGAGGTCTCCTCTTCCAACATAATGTTGCGTGTAGGAGTTGTACCGTCCAAAAAGACACATTTCGTGGAGTGAACTGGGAAACAGTGAGACAGCATGAGAAACCGAAGGCCACTTACCGTCTCCTCGATGCAGATTGAGTGCAGCTGTGGCCCTTGCTCCTTGATGGCGGTGGCTGGGGGGAGACATTTGTAGCTGAACAACTTGTCAAGCGCGGTAGCAACAGTAGTGATGTCGTCTTGAGTTACACCAAACGATGAAGCAGCCAGGCCGACCTGCTGGATGAAGTACGAGACCTCGTAGTGATTTAGATCCATGAACTTGTGCACCCGGTACTGAGACGCAATGCCGTCGTATGCAGGAAAGCCTGGCATGCCGTAGGTTGTGCAGCCCAGGAGAGAGCCGAAGAATGCGTACAGGTGTGTGAGGAGGAAGTATTGATTCGAGGTGTTGGAGTTGGCTGGCATGTTCATCTTGAGCGGTTCCGCACCACCGCCATCGAGGTTGTTGACGGCCACGCCAGAGGACCCGCCGCGGTTAGATGAGGCGAGGGACCCGTCGAAGTATGGCAGAAGGTTGACGTCCATTCCGTCTACTTTCCCCGGTGCTAGGATACCAGGAACCGCAATACCAACGTTCGGGGCGGTGTCTGTTACAGAGGGCATCGGTCAGTTCCAACTCCTGCTCGGTAACGTTTTACCACTGACAGTTTCCTATTACCACGGTGTTGACGAGCACTGTCAGCACCTTCAACTGGTTCTCTGCGGTATTGTCCTTCATTAAAGCCGTCGTGTAGTAGTCGCAAATTGGGACGTCAGCCGGTCTCTGGGCTGAGACCGCAGAGGTTGCCGACAAGGCTATGAGAGTCTTCTTGGCTTGCATATTGATGGCGAAGAGATGCTGTTGAATGTCAACGATCTTAGTGAGTAAGAGACTTTAGACTTCAAGGGAAAAGCACTGTGGAATCTCGCCGCCCCGACCGAGTATTTAAAAGGACAGCATCCATACAAAGCCCTCAGAAGAGACATACTGCGATATTCTGCCCTCATTGTCATCGTGCCAGCCACCCCTGATACGTAATGAAATTAACTTCGATTCTACTTCCAGGCGGCGTTCTTAGTACGGATGGAGACTACCCATTTTGTCGTGTCGCCACCGGAACTCACGATATCCGGAGACTGCGTCCCGCTGTTTCCCCTGCTGTACGTGTGATGATCACGGTGCCATTCCAAGTAAACAGCTTGGAATGGCTCACGTCCCCGACTGCCGCTCGTCTTCGGAAAGTAAGCTAGCTCGTTATTCCCCTGGAAATAAAGAATAAACACCAGGACTAACACTGTAATGGGTTGGTTCACCTGTCATTTGGCGCATCACGCTGGCGACGATCTCCGCGCGGCTAGTCTCACATCCGGGGCTAACACCAATAAAGTTGTTGACGGCGGCGCCCAATGGCACCAGCCAACCATTCATGGCTCGGGAATTAGCAACGCTTACAATAACATATTCCATGACGCAGTGGATCAAATGAGACGTGCGTGAACTGAGACTAGACCACAATGGATGACACGTGAGAAAAAGCAGAAAGTCCGGGGCCAAGGAGGAACAGCTGAGAAAGGCGGACAGCCCGAGCATTCCTGGTGTGCCAATTTCAAAGGAGATCGGATCTTTGAACGGTTAAGAAGCGTACGTACACGGATTGAAACGAAACCACCCTAGAAATCGGCAAATGCGAATCGGCCAATGCGAACCTCGGGCGCGGCAACCTCAGGGCGTTCTGGAAACCTGGATCTTCTGCGTTTGACGCGAATTTACGATTGAAAGAGTAAAAGAGTGGAAGTATCAAGTACTTATGGGTAAGCAAGTAGGTAAACCAACACGAGAGGCCTCGTGAATATCCTAGTTTCCGTTGCAGTGAAAAAGAATTCCGCAGAAATTTGGCTCAATCAGTCCTCGGGGCGCTCTGTATTTGGGTTCTGCTTGCGCGAATTCAAAGTAGGCCTTGGGCTGAGCGGACTTTTCCGCTGCCTTTTCTTAGAGTATCCAAGTCGTGAGAAGAAAGCAATTGGACCTAAGGATTGCTACTATGATCAAAGGAACCGAGAGGGAAAATTCAGAAATTTCATCGATGCATTGCACCACACGCTGCGATTTACTCGAGGTAAAATACAGCTAGTCCCTCAGTCAAGCAATATATCGATGTGACTGTTGCTACCACATGTGTCAACCGCAGTGAACGCTTTGATAGCCGTTAGACTGAAATCTGGCAAGCATGTTGCCTCTATGAGAAGTATTTCGTTCCAAAATGAGGTCGTTAATTATATGCTGCACAGGATCCAGCTGGTCCTTCAAACTGCTTCAGCCCCAACTGGTTGGGTCCAAGCTCAGTAACATGTTTCCCGAAAGACGTCTTCTGTCAAGAGAAAGACATGTTGGCAACTTCACAAACAGGCAGAATAAGCAACAGTCTAGAAGAGAAAAACGGCGGATACTAGGCAATTTTTAGACAGACCATGATTGAGTAAGACATCTCAGAAACAGACACACCCCCACTATCCGCGGCCTTAAGCTTTTGTAACTTTGGAACAATGGAACAACTGAGATTAATTGTATGCCAATGTCGAATCCAACCTCCACATTGATGACGTTGAAAAGATCAATGATCCTCGTATAAATTAATCTATACGATTGAATGTCTAACCTTAGCCGAAAGTGGAGAATGTGCCGAGTGTGGGCTTGATTATCGTGCTATCACTATACGGAAAATAGCAATGAATACGCAAAATGAGAGCGACCAGCAAGAAGCTTGGCTATTCGATGGGCATGTGGAGAAGGAAAAGGGGGGCGGGCTTGAACAAGTATAAGAAAGAGATGAAATGAAACGAAAAGGTTTCTCACAGCCTGGAAATAAGTTTCATCGTCCTCTCAGTCCTCAAGATGAAGTTGATTGCGTTTGGGTCGTTGCTAGCTGCCACCAGCCAAGGCGTTCTCGCAACCCGTTATGTCAACCCTGTTCTTCCTGGTTTCCACCCTGATCCCAGTTGCATCTATGTCGAAGAGTTGGACCGAACTTTCTTCTGTGCAACTTCTAGCTTCAGTGTCTTTCCAGGAATTCCCATCCACGCCAGTAAAGACCTCACGAACTGGAAGCTGGCCAGTAGCGTCCTAAACCGAGCTTCTCAGTTACCAGATTTCGCCTCCACACCCACAGGCCAGGATGGAATCTTCGCGCCTACCCTCCGCTATCACAATGGGACCTTCTACCTGATCACTACTTGGGTCTCGATAGCCTCCTACCAGGACTTCAGGATGGACAACATCATCTTTGCTTCTGAGGACCCTTTCAACTCGTCTTCCTGGAGCGACCCAGCACACTTCAACTTCGTCGGCTATGACCCTTCCCTCTTTTGGGACGCAGATGGCACGGCCTACCTGACCGGCGCGCAGGCTACATCCACAGGCACGACAATCGCCCTTGCGCCGATCAACCCACTGACCGGGGAATATCTAGGCCTAACAACCTACCCGTACGCATATCCTATCCCCCCCCCTAAACAGACTGTCCATCATCTAACTGACGTTGGCCCCGTACACAGCTATAACGGCACAGGAGTAGGCACCCCCGAAGGCCCACACCTCTACCACAACCCCTCCACCGGCTTCTACTACATCCTTGTCGCGGAG